CAAATTCTACTGGCAAATTGCCACCAAATGTGCAACAAAGCTTGGTGCGGAGCATTTTGTAGTAAATTTGCGGCAAAAACCGCGCAAGTTTTGCAGCGCATAACTGCGCACCAAATAGGCACTAAACACTAAGCAACACTTGCGCACAAGACACGAGCAAACTGGCAGCAAATCCGCAGCAAGCCTTGTACTCAATCAGCTGATCGAGATGGTTGCGACATGTGTTGGATTTTAAATGGTTCCTAACCTGTATATTGATAAATTTTAATTGCAATTTTGCATTTAAAAAGAGAAAGGTGTATATAGAAATAAATATTTGACAAAACAGACTGTATAATTTATTATACAAACATATATACATATAAGATCACGATATTCGTAATTATCGCTATTTACATGTAAACGAAAGGTGAAAAATAAAATATATGCGGTGGGACATTAACTTGTACATTCGTTGCAACTAATGATTCATCTCGTCCATTTCTTTCTGAAGACTGCAAAGTGGAAGTGGTATTTTAAAAGGACATCTCACGTATCATTTCCACACTTGGGTGAAAAGGTAAATATCTATAATTATGTTTTATATTGTAGATACTGTCAAAGCATTTCTTGAGAAGAACAAAGTAGGAAAATATAATGAAGAAGATATGAGAAAAAGGAGTAGAAACGAAGAAAAAAAGAAAAAGAAGAGAAAAAACGTGAGGAGGTAGAAGAACGTTTAGTCTATGTAAAATTGGAGATCGCTGTGAGGTATCTGTTCCAAATCAACGAAAGCGAAGATCTACAGTTTTATATGTTGGTCAGCAGAAAATTATTATTTATAAAATAATCTTATACCAATAAAATTCATTTTTGTTTGAATCATGTATCCTGATTCTATATAAATATTTTATAACTATAGGTAAAATTGAATTTAACCCTTAGCACTCCGTTGGCTCCGCTGTGGAGACATCCATCATTTATTTCGTAACTCCGGTGGCTCCGCTGTGAATACATTCTAGTATTAACATCAATACCTCTAGTTGCTTTTTGAAATTACAAGCACTTCTAATTTTTCCCGTTCAAAGTAAAATTTCTCTTTCCCAGACGCTCCACTGCAAAAGTGCTGCCGGAGTTGCCAGAGTAGGCAGTGATAAGAAAACGCGCGGAGTGCAAGGGATTAAAGATGGCTGGTGGACTGGTGTTAAGTACAATGAAACTCTTGGCAAAAATGATGGAAGGTACAAGCATATATTTAATACCTCCTTATACTATACTAATACATGTCTCTTTCTTACTTAATTTAATTTGTGCTTATTATATGTTTTCATTAGGCCGGGTCTACAATAGGTGTAATAAGCTTTTAGCTATTTGGTCTAAGCTTTACTAATCACTTTCCATTTCATTTCCTTTATGTTGTGATTTTTATAATATTTATTATCTTTGGCATACAAACAGGGATTTATTTGTATAATTGTTATTAAAACTTCGTCGTCACCCAAGTAGAACAAAAAATCATGATGACATCAAAATGACAAGAAAATTACCGAATCATGGTGAGAAAAAGAGTTTTCCTCATCATTTTGATGTCATTTTGATGTCATCGTGATTTTCTGTTCTACCTGGGCAGTGTCAGCAACATATTCTTCGTTGTCGGACATTTTGCCAAACCAGATCGAAACGTGCGTGAAAACGTGTATATGTGTCTAAATAATTTTTCTTATTGGCTTATCTTATTTATTACTGAGAGAAATCGGCCTTAAGCTTTAATTCCTAACTTCAAAAGTTTGGATCTACCCAACTTTACTGACAGCGCTGAAAATTTATAGTTTACGTGACACAAACTATATATTTTCAGTATTGGCAGTGAATATCAGAACATAGCTTATATTGTTGCCTATGTTATTGCATTTTGAATAAGGTAAGTTTTGGAAACATCCTACGTTAGTTATACACATTGTTCGAGCGTATACTCTTAAATAATTTTGTTACAGAAGTTGGCCAATATAGTAAATATTATTGGTGCTGATATGCTTACTGAAGCAGAAAGACATGTACAAAGAAATGGGAGACATTTTCGAACCCGACAAGTTCCATTTGAACTTCCAGAAAACCAATTCATAAAATTATTTCGATTAACTAGAAGACAGGCTGACAATATTATTGATATCGTAGAGCAATACCATCATCCAAAAAGATCTTCAGCATTAGATGCATCTGTGGAAGTAAGTTACTTGCTTCCATATCTATCAATATTATATCTGCTTTTTGTATCCATCTATTAATCGTCATGTGGAGAAAAATTCCTGCTCTTGTTATTGCTTTTTCTCTATTGGTTAAGAGTCTCCTGACAGTAGCGACAACACCGCTCTCGAGTTGCATGCGACAATTGTCACAGGTGACAATTGTCGCATGCGACATATCTCGTACGCTTTCAAGTGGTCTGTTCTTTTTAGCTGCACTACTGAACTGGTGCAATAAGTTAAAGTGAGAAAAAATATAGTTGTCTCATTCTAACTTATTGCACTAGTTCCGCAGTGACCGCAGTGCAGCTGAAAAGAACAGACCAAATAATTGAGCCCCAGAGTTTTGTTGTCCACGTAGCATATAGAGAGGAGTGACACGTAGGAGTAAATAATTTACACATAAATGGATTCCGAGAATTACACGGTGGAACTGATATGTCAGGATATTGTGAAGGATCATCTTCAAGTGAACGCTTTAACACAAGTAAATATATGTATATATATATGTGTGATTCTATCTCATAAACTATGAGATATAGTCTGTCCCAGATCCAATGAGACTGGTCTAAAAAAAATACAAAGCGTTTATTATTTTGATTTTTTATTCTTGTTTATTCAAAATAGTCTCCTTCCGAGTCAATACAGCGCTGGAAACGTTCAACAAATTTTTCGAAACATTTTTTATACTCATCGGCTGGAATGGCCTTTAGTATGGCGGTCGAAGTCTTTTGGATGACCGGGATGGTATCGAAACGATTTCCTTTCATCGCCAATTTCAGTTTGGGAAATAACCAGAAGTCGCACGGAGCCAAATCAGGTGAATACGGTGGATGATCGATAACAATGATGCCTTTTTTGGTCAAGAATTCACGTACCGTGATGGCTTTGTGCGATGGTGCATTATCGTGCAACAAAAACCAACTGCCTGACTCTCGATATTCCGGTCGAACTCGTCGAATTCTGGCCCACAATCGTTGTAGAACTCCCAGATAATATTCTGCGTTCACCGTCTGACCTTCCGGGACGAATTCACTGTGAACAATTCCCTTTGAATCGAAGAAAACGGTCAGCATTGTTTTGATTTTGCTCTTCTGAAAGCGTAATTTTTTCTCTTTTGGCTTTTCTGGTGACTTCCATGCCGCACTCTGACGTTTTGTTTTTGGCTCGTATTGAAAACACCACGTTTCATCACCAGTTACAATGGCTGACATGCTTGCCGGATTCCTTCGGGACATTTTTAACATGTCTTTGCAATGCTGAACTCTCAAATATTTTTGGTCGTCTGTCAGAGTGTGTGGCACGAAGCGCGCACAGACCTTCCATTTGCCCAAATCTTCGTTCAAAATTCGATAGACTGTGCTTTTCGGTATTCCAGTTTCCTCTTCGATGAGTCTCGCAGACACACAGCGGTCGCTTCGAAGAATTTCTTTGACTTTCTCGATGTTTTCTTCATTGCGAGTGGTTTTTGGCGGCGGTGCTCGATCATCGTCTGCAAGGTCCTCACGACCGTCACGGAATCGGCCAAACCAACGGAAAACCTGTGCACGGGACATGCATTCATCCCCGTACACATTTTTTTAGCGTTTCGTACGTTTCTGCACCACTTTTACCCAATTTAAAACAGAATTTAATATTCGCTCTTTGTTCCATGTTGGTTTTTCGACCGACGTACACAAAGTGACTTTACATAAAATGTCAAACCACAGTGAAATATCAACCGAATTCGCTCAAATTTTGAGGTTAAGTAGATGAAGGGTAGAACATTCACCTACCATCATTCACTCATAGATGTTGCTGCACTAAGAACTTTGATGGAACCAGTCTCATCGTATCTGGGACAGACTGTGTATAACCTCAATCTCAACTTTAGATTAACATCAATTCTGGAAAAAGAAGAAGGTAAGAAGAAGAGAAATTTAACATCATGTTTTACAATAATAAATAGTAGGATCATGTTTACAATAATAAATAATATGTTAGGAATTATATTGTAATAAGCCAAATAACAAATCACCATGTATTTTCTGTGAAGGACATATAACAATGTACTGGGCTGTAGAAAGCGTTAGACGAACTCAATGCCGAAGGTAGGACCAAAATTGCAGTGCTAGAATCCTCCATAGAGCGATTAGCGTCTGTCGCTGAAACCGAACCAAATGAGAAGAAGAAGACAGTTGTTTTACATTATTGAGAGCTATAAGGAGCAATTAAATATGTTCTTGGCAGTCTTTCGCAAGGCTAATGTCGTTCGCACTTGTGTCATAGATAAATTAGTTTGGGAGAATCTGCTTTCCCTGCCAGAGGAGCGGCAGAATGCTCTTCGTAAACGACGAGACAAACAAAGTTTGACAGATTCTTCTAGCCAAATCACAGACAAATTATTCAGCATCGTAAGGCATCTAGCTGAGTCAACTCAGAGAAGTGCTGATATTGGACATATTGTGTATGTACTATATTTTTGAATCATTTCATAAAAATATGGAATTTATTAGATATCTATCATGCAGAATGAAGCAGTAACTATTATCTCATCTTGAATATCTTGAATATATGAGATATGAGAATAGAAAAATATTTAACAGAAAATACATGGTACTGAAACAATTGTCTTATAGTAGTAAAGTTTTATTTTCTAAGTAAACTAAGCTTTAAAAATCTAAATCCTTTATCGTTTTTTCCTAAATTATTTTTTAAATAAAATGTTTTAATGTAATAAAATTTATTAAAATGTTTTTTGTATCATAACTAATTTTGAATCATTCTTTATTATAGGTTATTGTATTTCTTCTAATAACTGTTATCAAAAAATAAATTCAGAAACAGCATTCCATTAAAAAAAACAAAGATGACCTTCAAATCTTAGGAATCACCTGAAAAAAAGCGTTACCATCGCAAGGATTACTTCTGCACCATGTAATTTCTCTTTGTTAGATAAATTATTATTTATTATTATCGCCTCACTATATATTGTCTGTTTAAGAGTAATTATTACGATTCTACCGATTTTGCTGTTTTGTTTCAGTAACATCCTCTGACAAAGTTGATAACACGAGAAACGAGCTGGAGCATCAACAACAAGTGATAGTGCAATCGAGAAAGCTCTTAGGAAAAATATGGTAAATGCGAAGTCACCGATAAAGTATTACTTGCACTGGCCTTCGCGTTCTTCCTCGCCTGCGTGTTTTACATTTCACAAAAGAGACTGTTCTGAAAGCCTTTTGTATGTGATATTAATGAAATGGACTGATCATTTACGGTGATATCGCGACTGTAACATATTGCGCAGGAATTCTCACGATAAATGACATAGAGAATGTATGTACTATTTAAGAGGAGAAATCGGGTGAGTTTTTACAAGTATTTTAATGACTTTACGCGTGTGTGGATAAATTGCTCGTTAATCTCTGAAGGACGTTTTCATTCGGTCACCAAATCTTATTAAATAAACTCAACTGGTTGTATATAATGGTATCCTGTAAGAAGATAAAATATTTATTAAATTTCAAAATGTATACACGTTTCTACTATTCATTATCACTAAAATAACGATGTCGTATCGCGAGACGCTATGGAAACTAATTGCTCGTACATTTTTATAACCGCTTATGAATTCCTCTCTGGTGACTATTCCGTCTCTGTCTACGTCCATCTTCTTGAAGAACTTGTCTACTTGGATGTTAACTGCGGGCTGGATGGTCTACGCGTCCTGCACCATCTCATAAATCGCGAATATTATAACCAACATTTCGCGCTTCGTGATACAACCGTCTCCATCAAATCGTAGAATCTGATGAAAAGTAGGTCCAGAGAGTATTTCGCATGTTATGATCTTCGAGATTATTGACTTCAATAAGTATTAGTGATCAAATATTTAATAAATATCCAATAATCAAGTAAAATTTCTATTGCGACTAATATTAACATTTTTAAATGTCACTTTTTAACTTTGAGTATTATTCCGAGGAAAAATGATTATATATGTAAATTTTCTCTGCACAGCCATCATTAAACAGCAAGAAAAAAGTACAAAGTGGTCAGTCTGTGCCCGAAGAAGTTACAGAAAATCAAACCGAACTTCTTAACTGACACGAAATAAAAATCTTTCAGGTTGCGCTCGAAAATGAACCTGGAATCAGACAATCCGTTACTAACAGCGATTACTGCTTACCCAAATATCCAAGAGAGCTGATCGACCATGCCGTTCACGATCGATGCTGTGGCATCCAGAAGATCGCTGAAGCTGACGAAACTGTCGCCGTCCTTATCGAAACTGTGGAAGACGATTTGCATGTATCTGGTTGGGTCGTCCAATGGGAACAGTTTTTGGCGTATGCGGGTTTCAAATCGCCAGGCGTCACACTGTTTGCGCAATATCTCCGCCGGCGGACCGTATCGTCGTCAGTCCCGAAAGGACGGGAATCTTAGCTGAAAATATTTGAGCGAACGTTAATTCAGAACGCGATGTCGTGAACTTCTCGCGAAGAAATGAGAAAGAGATCTTTCCTTCTAAGTATTCTCTTGACGCGTGAAAAATTGGTCGCAAGTTTTGATACTTTTTTTGTAATCTTTTCTCGTAAATTCTTGTAGTATGTAACGATTACCGTGCGCGTGTTAGCTCGTTTCATGTAGTGAAAAGTAAAAATAAGAATTCTGAATAGTTTTGTACACTAATATTTCTTTTGTAGTCATAACATAAAAACTTATGGAATGTGACTTAACCCTTTCGTGTCTGACTTTTTTCTAGAAATAATCTGCGTCTAATTCACGTTTTACTAAAGGTTTTTAGAATTGCTGATTATGAATTTGTAGTCAAAATTTCAAAATTCAGAACAGTACCTATAGTTGTAAAATATTTATATAGAAATTATATAGAATACACAAGTCAATATGTCCCACCGCGTATATTTCATTTCTCACCTTTCGTTTACATGTAAATAGTGATAATTACGAATATTGTGATCTTATATGTATATATATTTATATAATAAATTACACAGTCTGTTTCGTCAAATATTTATTTCTATATACACATTTCCCTTTTTAAATGCAGAATTGTAATTCAAATTCAGCAATATATAGGTTAGGTGCCATTTAAAACCCAACGCACGTCGCTACCATCTCGATCAGCTGATTGAATGCAAGGCTTGCTGCGGATTTGTTCTCGTGTCCTGTGCACAAGTGTTGCTCAGTGTTTGGTGCCTATTTGGTGCTAAGTTATACACTACAAAACTTGCGCGGTTTTTGCTGCAAATTTACTGCAAGTTGCCCCACATCAAGCCTTGATGTGCAATAAGAATGAGACAACTATATTTTTTCTCACTTTAACTTGTTGCAGTTTAGTAGTGCAGCTAAAAAGAACAGACCACTTGAAAGCGTACGAGGGCTGCGTTCCGATATTCACTGCCAGTATTGAAAATATATACTTTATGTATTATAGATTTTCAGTACTGGCAGTGAATATCGGAACGCAGCCCTGATATGTCGCATGCGACAATTGTCACAGGGGTTCGATTCCTGACAGCGTGCGAATGAGATGCGCATACGAAAATCTATATTGTTACGTCCTGTAGATTTAATTAGCAAAAATTCTTTCCCCTCACGGATTTATATTCTCCTAATATAACTATAATAGGAATATATACATATATAAATATAAATTAGGAAACAGACCCATCTGGCGAACAGCCGTCGCGCCAAATGAAAGGCGATTCGGGAAAATTCCATAACAGGAAACAGTGCCCTGTTGTAAAAACCTATACTTGGGTAGTGTTCGCCAAGTGTGTCCGTCGTCCCAGCTATAAAAACTTGAAACTCCGCGCTAATAAACCTTCAGTGAAACAAAGCAACTCAGAGCATTCCTGCTCTAAAACTTGAAACTCACATCTTCCCAATCCAAAACCATATGTGCCCAATCAGTCAACCAACAAAGCCTACTTCACTGATAGTCGTAAAATCTGATCCCAGCCTTTGATTTACGGCATTTTGATTTTTCCAGCCGTCCACTTGTATACATTTCTCTATCTCAAAAACCCACCACCTCTACGCTTGTCGCGCCTAACTCATTCAGCCAATCATATATCCACCTAAAACTATGAGACACTCACGCTCCACCCTTTAGCCCTTCCATATTCATATCTCCAAAAACTAACTGTCTCCTCCCACGATGTCTTTTAACTTTGCTAATGGCTGAGACTTTTTCCCACTAAGACCAATCCACCCCTTCCTCAAAGGCCATCTCTCTACCCACCCTGATAGCTTTTGCCTCCGATTATTACTATAAAAACCGCGGTAATCCGCCTCCGCGGCCACTGCTACTTCTACTTCTACCGTTACTACTACTCTGAGAGACAGAAGAACACGGAAACGAAAAAGCTCAAACTCGCACTCTCACGCAGATATTCAAAACTCAGTTCATTCAAATATTTAGTATTCAAATATTCAAGCATTCGGATTTTGGGAAAAGTGCGGGCTTCCTCTTTATATAAGTGAACGACTATTTGGTGCCTCAATCAGAATACGAATATTAGAAACGAGAGCACCTACGCAGATCTACGCCATTCTCACTTCTGCTTGTGTCAACTCATCCCGAATCAGCAGTAAGTTCTGTGTTTTTATATATATACTCTTATTTATTGGTTCCACCTGTTTATTGAATACATTTTAGTGGGTCATTATTGTCGTTCTGTGGTATCTATCCAACAAGTCCTTCATTTCTTTGAGACGGTGTACGAGATTAGGGATCTATATGAGTTTGAACACCAACTGCAATATCTCCGTTCCATCATAAATATTACATTTGAAACAGATTTTCACCCAGACCCGACACTCCTACCCCCTTTTCTACTCCGACGTCTACCTATTAGTACTCCGCCTTCTTCTCCTACACACGCGTCCCCGCCTTCAACCCCTTCGATATCTTATTCACCAGTTTCCTTCTCCGAACTATCCACTCCCTTAAATTCACCCGACCACTCACGCTCCCCCTCACCCGACTAATTCTTTACTCATATTCCTACCTTTTTTTTTATTCCTCCTTCTTTCACTTCTCATACATATACACATACACATACACAGTCATTCCTCAACTGTATTAAACCGCGCCGTAATTCATTTTGTTATTATAGTCATTTTAATAAATCTGTTTATATTTCATTCTTTTTCCAATTAATTTCAAAATCACATATACCCTTCCAACAGTCAACTCATGGTCCTATCCCCGGTAAAGGGATTCGCGTCCCTGACCGAAAAACGGACCGCTCGTCGTACGTCGGTGCCCGAGTAAAGGGACCCGTCGGGTCCCTGACCCGTTCACTGATACGCGTGTACGAACGAGGTTCGCCTTACTCGCGAACGAAAGGGTTGCGTTCCTCCTCTAGGACGTAACATACCAAAATTTTGGGGTCTCGTCCGGGATGATAAGAGTGACTGTTGAAAAGGGGTATGAATACGCGGTCTAAATCTGATAAAGACGAGGTGGAAAAAACTTTCCGCGGAGCTGTCGAGAATACACCACTTCGTCGTCCTCGCGAGTTAGAATCATCGGAACAACCTCAACATACATCTACACCATTCGTGCCACACAACCAACAAACTACCACTAATACCACTGAAACATTTCCTGCTCCTACATCTGACGTCGATACTTCAACTATCCGGAAAATTTTGAGTGATAGCCCACTTTCTCTCAGCGCATTTGGTATAACTCATTCACCTCAAAGAACTAATAAACCCCCGAGTCCTATCGCAGAAGTATCTGTCGAAGAAACTAGTTTTTGCGCTGAATCTACGCGGTATAAATCTTTTGATAATTCCTTATATTCTTTCCGTCTGGTTGTCACAGATAGTGAAATTGATCCCAGCAGTAAACTTACGGTAAAAGATCTTACGGAACAAAGCAATCATAGAGAACAATCTAATTTAGAACTTATTACAACCACAGAAACCATGAACGATAACGTAGTAACAAATAACTCTTCCGCTACTTTACGATATGCCGTAGAGGCTGTTCCTTTCTTTGATGGTCAAAATCTACCTGTAGAATATTTTATAGAAGGATGCGAATTAGCAAAGTCCATGTTACCGCCCGAAAACGAAAAATATTTGACTAAAATAATTCAAACTAGATTAACTGGCGACGCTCGTCATTCCGTACAAGACCAGGATTTCTCGCGGATTAATCAGTTAACAAATTTTTTGAAACATGTATACGGCTCTTCTAAAAGCTTAATGCAATTACAAGTTGAATTAGGACGAAATTACCAACGGGCCGATGAAACGGTACTCACATATGCAAACAGAACGAAAGCAATAGGCAAACGTATATTAGAGGCACACCGAACCACGAATAACGGAGCAATAGATCGCTCTTATAAAACATCATTAGAAAATGAATTGGTTCACAGTTTCATCAGAGGGCTGAAGCCTGAAATAGAGCAAAGAATTGCCAGAAATTTAGATGTAACCGCAACTGTAGAAGAAGCCTTAAGAATTGAAAAAGAATTACGGGATATTTTCGAAATACGTGGGTTGCAAGGTTTTCAAGTCAATACAGATTTATGTCAAATATGTAAAAAATCCGGTCACACAGCAGATAAATGTAATCTAATATTACAAAATACAACAAGATCCTTGGGGACCGAAATTTTAATCTGCCAAATTTGCAAAAAACGGGGCCATAGTGCAGATAAATGTAGATTCCGAGAAACTATTGGACAAAAGCCGGTAAAAATTGTACAAAGCGATTTCGTCTCATGCCAAATATGCTCTAAACCCGGTCATACTGCTCAAAATTGTCGTTCACTTAATAATCAGCAGGTTATATGCCAAAATTGCCAGAGACCTGGTCACGTCTCTAGAGATTGTAGAGGTAATTCCTCTAATTTTACTAATATTATTTGTCAAATGTGCAATAAACCAGGTCATAACGCGAAGAATTGTTATTCAAATCCTAATCGGAATAATATTCCTAATAACGAAGTATGTCAATGGTGCGGGCGACGTGGACATCAAGCATCTCAATGTAGAGAAAGACAAGTTATTAATAGAAATTCTCCGAGAAATAACATCCAAATTATTTGTCAAATCTGCAATAGAACGGGACATAGTGCTCGTAATTGTCGCGAAAATCGGTCATCGGAAAATACATCCAATTCTACAACACAAGATTTAGCAAATCAATGTAGATATTGCAAGGAAACGGGGCACACAATAGAAAATTGCATTTTGAGAATCGAAAATAATCGTAAGAAACAGGGAAACTTTCAAGGGTCTCCGACGGCGGGCGCGAACCGGGGAGCCGACGGATCGGGGCGCCCAGTGATGACTGCACTAACAGAAAACACAATAATCGAGCTCCAATAATTAGACCGGTAGAAATTAATTTGAATAAAGAAAGCTGCGTGCCTACTGTTCAGTTAAGTTTAAATGGAAATAGTTATTTTGAAACTTTCATGTTAGATACAGGATCGGGACCCAACCTTATTAAGGAAGCTCGCATTTCAGGAACTCCAGACTTAGATTCAACGCATATATTAAAATTAAACGGAATTAATAATTCACCCGTGTACACTATCGGAAAAATTACTAAGATAATTTTGGGAATTCCTGTTGACTTTCATGTAATTTCCAATGATTTTCCTATTCAATCTTGTGGGATAT